ACGCCGGCCCCTCCTCTGATCAGACACCTCGTATTCAGCAGGTTTTCACCTTGTCAGAAAAGGGCGACAGGGACCGCCTCAGACCCGGACCAAAATCAGCTCGTAAAAGCCAGGAAACCCACAGGTCAGCACCTCTGGACACCAGTCATAACTTCTCCATTGCCATGGAAACTGGAGATGAAGAAGATGAGTGGCAAAGGGAAGAAGAGTTGGCAAATATGGCCGCTCAAACACACATCCACAGGGAGCAGACGTCAGCCAGCCCAATCGGGGCCGAAGTGTCTGTCGTGCGAGGAAACCACACACCTCCGATGACGAGCTCCAGACCCGCATTGCTTCAGGGCAGCTACTCCCTCACAGCACAGACCTCACTTACAGGGGAATCCAGCTCACAAGTAGGAGCGGTTTTATTGCTGGTACATTCGTCCCTTTAAGTGAGTTGACAGATTTAACCTGCGTGTCTTTGTGTGCAGACTGCAGTTGGTATATCTGCTGCCCCCTGGGTTATTAGCAACTCCAGAAAGAGAACAGTAAGCGCTCTAAAGCACCACATTTATGCACGCATGTAGCATGCTGGAAATAAGTAATACAATTATAGATGCGAGACATGTAGTCAGACAGGTGTTTGTGTTTTCAGCTGCAGGATCGGACCCAGTTCAGTGATGGGGATCTTATCCAGCTAAAGCGCTACTGGGACCGAGGCATGACCAGCCTGGGCTCAGTGTGCAGGGAGAAGATCAGCGCTGCAGCAAACCAACTCAATGTAGACACTGAAATAGTCAAGGTAGCCAACTCAACAAGAAAGAAATAGCTTAATGTATTCTAGGTTTGGAAGAATCAAAAAAGAGACATGGCATTGCATACGCTACAAAACAAATGGTAAAGCTTTGGGTCTTCAGTTGTTCACTTATTTATGACATTTAGTGGAAACAGGACTATTTAACTTGTCTGAGCTCTTGAGGGCTGTTAGAAAGGAGAAAAGAACAACTTTTCTGGGTCAGGCTTTCTAACTTACTTGCACAATGTTGTGTAAAAGTCATGCTGTTATATATCAGGGCCACAGCAGGAATGCTGGTAGACTAAATATAGTCTCTAAGTCCTGACACACACACATGACCCTGTGCCATCTCACTTACAAGGATATTTATTGCAAGGAATAAAACTTTTGCCTTCAGAGTTACAGTAAATTAGGACTATCTTCAGATCACTGCAAAATAATTTCCTTGCTGCAACTGGTGCAGTTCACCATCTGACCTTGCCTTCTGACTTTGGTGATTGGATGAATCAGTGTTAGAGAATCTTGTTACAGATCAAAGAGGCAGTCCATTTGTTTAATAAGCGCACTCATAGAAAATCCGGGTATGGAAATATACCGGACACCTGCTGATACTTATCCCGGTCTCCCATTTGTTCTCACATGATTTACAGACATGGATCAGTAACAGACGGAGGAAGTACCGTCTGATGGGTATTGAAATCCCTCCACCCAAAGGTGGGCCTGCTGTATTCACAACCTCATCGCCAGGAAACCAATCGCCAGTGTCCCTCAGCCCTAACGAGGAGCGCCTCAGAACCCCTGAAATCGGAGATGACATGAACGATGGCGGCTCTGTGTGCCTGTCTGAGGGTGAGGCCGCTGATGCCGTCTGCACATTAACACATCCTGTGTACAAACCGTGCATCCCGGCATTTACGCAGTATCTATCTCAAACCTAGATGGCACCATCGATTCACAACACAGGGATGGAGAGGATGGAAACGATCTGTCCAATGCTGCTCCAATGGCCAATAATGTGGTACTTTATGAGTTCTTCTTTATATTAGAGCCTCATTAGCTTTTGTGATTTGTAGAATTCATATTAACATGTAATGATATGAGTTTAGCAATTAGGCTGAGAGTTGTCTGCTAAAACTGAAGCTAGTTTGGTTGACAGCAACTATAATTCACTGCAGTATTAAAGGGGATGCTTGGAGTGCAGTCTGTTTACCAGAAAGATTAAACCGCTAACTCCTTATAATGTGTTTCAGTACAAGCTTTAAAAATGTTGGAGATCTTAACATGCAAGTCTGTGGATGTCAACTCACTTTTAGAAACAGCCTCAGGTCTCCATTAAAGGAACTGCACATAGCAGTGGCTACATTTTTCTGAGTCTTCAAGGTTGCCACCCGGTGACTCGCAAACTTACATCACAATGTGCAATGTGCTTAGTCAGCCTTTTTTCAAAGGGGACTTTTCAACATTATAGTAGAGCTAATATTATGTTCATACATTAAGCTTTAGAGGATTTTAATTAGTACCCAGGAGAAATGTAGCAGTGTATAAAATCAAAAGCAACCTAGTGACAAATACAATGCTTACGAATACATTTCTTGACCAATCGCAGGCACATTTTTTTTATCTTAGCTTGTTGTGATTAAAGGGTCACCATGTAGCCAATAATTGTATTTATTTTTCTCTGCCTCAGCTCATTTTTCTAAATAATAGTTCTAGAGCACTGATTAAGATGACTGTTGGGTTATTAGGTTTTAAATGAATTAGTTTTAAATAATTGTAAAAGCCTTTTCATTCTCATTCTCTGGATTATTTATTGACGAGGATGATGGTGATGTATTGTTTACTTAATTGAGGAGAGGCTTCATGTAATGTGTATAAGGGTATAATTATCACCGAAACTGTTGGAAATCATTTTTCTTTGCTCGTTTCCAGAGTTTAAAGTGATTTGATGTCTGTGTTTTTTAACAGAAGATCGAAGTGATCGATGAGGACGAGGAAGCCGATGAGGATGAATTAGTGGCTTCGGACCTTGAGCAAATGCAGAACCTGCTGGAATTCAAGGTGAAAACACCCACACAGACTGTGACACATTCACAAAGCATTGCTCACGGTGCTGTAAAAGCGGCAAAGATAAAATGCACGATGGTAAATGTGCTGTAACCTGAATTAGCATTATTTTAAATTCTGAATGGATTCTTTGCCTTGTTTGGATCCTTCTGTTTCAGCATGAGGAAGTCCAGTTCTTGGAGAATGAGCTAGAGAACCAAAAACAAAAGTACCAGGATCTTGCAAGCTTCACAAAAAGCCTGCTCAGTGCTGTGAGGAACAATGACCTGGAGAGGCAGCAGGTATGTTCACAGTCTTGTTTATATGTTAAATGAGAAAAGCTTATTATCAGTGTCTAAGCTGAGTTGTGCCGTGCATGTTTAGGAACTCATGGCCAGTCTACCTCAGCCTTCAGACCAGGAATGGGACATGACCGTGGACAGAGGAGCCCAGTCTCCTGCTGAGTCAGCAGATGAATCCTCCAACCACAGTAACCCCCAGGCAGCCTGCGCGAGCTTCAGAGACCCTCAGCTGGCCCAGGCAAACGAAGTCCCGCTGGTCACCATGATCAAAGATGATACTGATGTTGCCGAGCCCTCTGCATCAGAGGAGCAAATGCAGGAAGCAGAAGCAGAACCAGAGTGACACAGACACACTTATAGAGATGTTTCCTCACTCCAAAAAGAGGCTTATTTCAAACTATAGAGACTGTAGTGTCTAACAATTACAAAAACACTCTTGGAAAAGTCACACTCCACGCCCAGTGCCTGTGGATTGACGCTTCACTTATGACTGTTGGGCTTTTTTACTGCATATCATTCGCCTTGAGAGAACAATAAATGACCTCTAACTTAACTTTGTCTCGTGTTTTGTTTTTCTCATGTATTACTGAGTATGAGTAGGAAATTATGTAGGAATTTAAGCTGTAAAAATACAACTTCTTAAAAACATTAACAAACTTGTAACTGCAATGATCGCAGCTGCATACACACACACTGCTACTGGAGCGCCATCAGTATGAGTTCAGTTAATCAACTTCAGTGCATCCAGAATGCTGCAGTGAAAGTACTGACGGGGACTCCAAGCATACAGGCTTGAATAATCAGGCCCCATCTATCTTCATCTTATCTCACCCCAGTAGAGCACTTTGCTCTCAGGCTTTTGGCTTACTACTGGTTTCTAGGGTATTTAAAAGTAGAATGGGAGCTTCAGCTTTCAGGCCCATTTTCTGTGGACGTAACTCCCAGTTTGGAATCGGGACACAGACATCCTCTCTAATTTCAAGATTAGGCTTAAAACTTTATTTTTTTGATTAAGCTTATAGTGATGGTTGAATCAGGTGACCTCAAACCCTTCCTTAGTTACACTGCTGTAATAGTTGCAGGCTGCTCAGAGTTGGGTTGAGCCTGGTTCTGCCAGATATTTCTTCCTGTTAAAATGGAGATTTTCCTTACCACTGTCGCCAAGTGCTTCCTCAGGTTTGATTGTTAAAATACAGTTAGTCTTATTGCGAATACTGGTATTTATTAACAGATTGGCACGTAAGTTTTGACCTACTGTATCTTGACTTGTACAAGGAAGTATTAATGGCCAAATATGTACACGAATATATATTTAAATAATTAAGCTGTATTGTTTAGACTGAAGAAATGCGTGTGCCAAATCAAATAGACAAATCCACGCATGTAGTCGTTCACTACAGAAACACGGAGCATTTGTGGGTGGGAGAAAGCTGCAGAGAAAGCGGAGAGCGTTAAGCCTCTTATATGCACTTAAACCAGGGATGGAAAGGCTTATGAAACAGTGGTTTTAAAACGTACAGCTCGCACTGTTAAGATCGCTAACTTACAAATCGTTTGCGCTTTAATTTCATCATGCGTCAACAGCAAGAAAAAAGCAAAAAAAAAAATAACTCCCTGCCTGCCACAGTCACGGTGACTAACTATTTCGGTCGCTAGCAAATAGTCCATCAACCGGATGTGTGCATGTCACACACAGCATCAGGTCCCCGCGCCACCACGTCCACTCTCCCTCCTCTCTATCTCGAGACCTGCTGCTTTGGTTTGGACGGGGGAAATCCTTAACTGAATTGCGTCATAAATACGTCAATAAAGTCCCATTCACTGACGATCAGGTACCACGGTAGCCGCCATATTCGCATCTATGGTAGGGTAGCGGTGCTTTCGGCGAGCGTGTGATCCAGTCATCAACATCGACTGTTCCCTGCGCCGACCCTCCAAACCTTTCCTCGGAGCGGCCCGCGGTTCCACAGCCTGCATCGGCGCATCGAGGCAGAAAAAAGCCGGACTTCCACAGAGGGTGGTTGGGGGGGAAAGACATGCAACGTGGAGCGGGGGTCTAGGTGGACTACGATGCCTTAGACTTGGAGAGGAATCCTGGTACAAGATGGAGGTAAACAGCGTTAGTAGTGAGGTGAGTTGACAAATGCGTGTTTTGCATGTTAATCTCGCCGCGTTGCTTCTGGTTTCGTGGTGTCCCGTTAAGTTATCTCGCCCCGCTCGTCTCGGCAGAGCTTAAATTCGCATCACGACCTGCAGCGCACCGTGATGCATGCTAACGCACTAGCTAATGCTAACAGCTGGTTAGATGTTTGTTTTTATTGCACTGCCCTGATTTTTTTTTCTTATTAGTTTAACACTTACCCGTCCCGTCTTTCGCAACGGCTCATCATTCCGCACCGACACTGGTGTTTTTACCCAATGACAGGTGCCCGTCGCGCATCTTTTTCTTGTTATTTACACTTCTCAGGAGGAGTTTACCTCCTAGCTAGCTTAGCGCTTGTAGCATTAGCAGCAGCTAGCTTGATAGCTGACAGCTTGCAGGCTTGAAAACTTGGGAGCCAAGTTGTTATCCAACCTCTACTGTTTAAGTAATAAAAGGTTGCTAAAGTATTTTAGTCTGTGTGTGTAGTAGTTAGGCAGCGCATGAATCCAGCCACTGCAGTTTTTTGTTTGTTTTTTTTGTTTAAAGTTTGTCATTAGCTGCGCTAAATCGGTCAGTCGTGTTTACTGCTGAAGGTTGGCTTGTCAGCAGTACTTGTGAATTAGTGATGCTGTTAATAACTTAATAACAAAAACGTCTGTGCGCAGCTTTATAAGTTATAATTTGACCAAAAAAGTGCACAACGCGTTTAACAATGGACTGACAGCGGCAATAAAGTGACGACGCTGTGACTGAAAATTGCGCAATATGGAGCTGTACTATTTATCACTGTTAGTACAAACCAGTGATACCTTTTTGCAATGACATCCAGAAACAGTCTTGTGATAGCTGTGGGAAGGATTCAATTTGCTTTTGCACGGGCTCGGTAATAAGGTTTTCCAGTTGCAGCAAAGCCAACTTGACATCCTAAACCTGATTTCTGGGATTCTTTGCGGTCCTTTCACATTTACACACTGAAAAAGTCCGTCTGGCAGACTTCTGTGACTTTCGTAAAGTCAACAGAAAGTTACTGAAACATCCCGGGGTTGTTTGAACTGACCCTTCCATTTTTATTGAGGTTTCTCTTGGAAACTTTTAAAGCTTTTTGTTAATCTTTCATATAATACCTTTTATAATAACTTAATCAGCTTCATGGCCCAAATATTACAATGCTTTTAATAACAATAATAATGGATTGCATTTTTATATAGCGCTTTTTCGGGACCCCTCAAAGTGCTTTACAATACCACTATTCATTCACTCTCACATTCACACACTGGTGGAGGCAAGCTACAGTTGTAGCCACAGCTGCCCTGGGGCAGACTGACAGAGGCGAGGCTGCCATGGCGCGCCATCGGCCCCTCTGGCCATCACCAGTAGGCGGTAGGTGAAATGTCTTGCCCAAGGACACAACGACCGAGACTGGGGCTCGAACCGGCAACCTTCCGATTACAAGACGAACACCCAACTCTTGAGCCATGATCGCCACTTTTAAAAAGTTTTACTGCAGACAAACACTTGAATTTGCTGTTTACTGTAAGCTGCAGCTTTGAAGACTGTGAGATTACAGAAGTAAATATCAGCTGAGCTACCTAAACCAGAGCAGTGGTGATGCTGGCTGTTTAATCAACACTGTATCAGTTCTCACATAAAAGACTTCTTTTTTCTCAGGCCAAACCCTTGTATGCCGGTATAAGTGTATGCAAAATGATATTATGTAGGATTGTCAGACATCAGATGGCTGCAAAAGGCTGGCCTGGTTGCGCTGAGTGTAGGCTGCACTCCCATTACAAGCTGTGATGAGCCACAGCAAAGGTGGGAGTGAAAAAAATCTATGTGTGAATTATGACACAAGCTCTGCCCTGGCTTCGGCCAAGCTTGGATGTTACCCTTCACAGATGCACCGAGGCGTTTGCTTTCAGCTTTATTCTGCGTTGTTTCGGCCTTTGCGGTGTCTATCTTGTCAGATTTTTTTTTTCTTTTAAATATGTTTTTCTTGCCAGTGTTGCTCTGCTGCAGCAGCAGTAGCAAGATATTGGAAAGTGGTTTTGCTGGCCTCCGTTGTGTGGATGTACACGAGTGTATGTTGGTGGCTCCACCCACTGAGTGGGTTTGCGTAGTGCTATGACTCATACCCCTCTTCAGAGGCTTGATGGAATTCAACACACACAAACACAGTGGACTGAATACATAATGCAGGCTGCGCTTCAGCCTGTAACTGAAATATTCAGACCTGGATAATGTTTTTGTGGTCAGTCGTTTGATTTGCAGATGCCGAGATATCTGACATTCCTCCTCTGACAATGTCATTTCAGCGTGCGTGGCTGTTACAGTAAACAAAGAGGGTGTGTGTGGGGGGGGGGCGCTTCTTAAACGTGGTCTGCGGTCATTTAAAGTATGCATTTACCAGCATCATCAGCTAGAAGCTCTAAAAGAAACAGACCCTATTATGTCTTGAATGCTGACTGTAGCTCCAGCAAATATCTGACTCTTGGAGCTTGTTTTTTGCTCTCACTGGGGATTAAGCTAGAATGCTAATAATGGGGGGGCTTTATAGGGACAGGATAAGGGCTGGACAGCTGGACGGGATTAAAGTATGGACTCCATACTGTTTGACAACACGCAGAGAACTACAGTTGGAAAAGGGACAGTGCCGTATTATTGCATGTGTGACTCATCGAATTCATCTGTTGAATCTTCCATCATACATGTGGGCGTGCAGCTGCTGCTGCAGTCATAGTCCTGCTCAGCTAAAAACAAGGATGAATAAGCTTTGTGAAAGTGCTTACTGCTGTTGACAACAACTCTGATCAGATTTGTTGCTTTGGCTGCAGGTCAATGGGCATCAGATCATGGATGAGCCCATGGAGGAGGGAGAGTCTTTCTCACACTGTGTAAGTAAGGCTGCGCTTTTAAGTCTTCATGTCTGTGTGCGTGAAGCGGTGACCTAACCCCACCGCCTCGTGTTTCTGTCTCATTCTGCTAATGTTTGTGTAGGATGATGGGACATATAAGGAGATTCCTATCACCCACCATGTAAAAGAGGGCTGCGAGAAAGCCGATCCGTCTCAGTTCGAACTGCTAAAAGTCCTCGGCCAGGGCTCTTTCGGCAAGGTGAGGGAACTCTGGAGATGAGTCGAGTGGTTTGTTTGTGCCGGCGCTTATATCTGTCTAAAATCCTCTCATTCGCCTTCTGTCAGGTGTTTCTTGTCAGGAAGATCCTGGGTCCAGATGCTGGTCAGTTATATGCAATGAAAGTTCTAAAAAAGGCATCTTTGAAAGGTAATGCCACTGTTGTTTTTGGCCATCTCTGCATAAAACAGCACCAGTATTGTCTGTCCAAAGTGCTGGATTTCTTTCTGAATGGCTCCATCTGTCTCCTTTGTCTCCAGTCAGGGACAGAGTTCGCACTAAGATGGAAAGAGACATTTTAGTGGAAGTCAATCATCCCTTCATAGTGAAATTGCACTACGGTAAGACAAACACTGTTTGTTTGTTTGTTTGTTTATTTATTTATTTATTTATTTTTTTTTAATACACATAGCATGGCTATTACACAGTTTTGAACATTTAGATGCACTCATGGACTAAAACGTCATGGAAACATCAGGATTTAATTTATTTCTTTTTCTGGGACGGAAACTTTTACATCAAGTAAAAATAAAAATTTAAAAATAAGTGAAATGTACTGCACACATTTTAAATCATTTTTTTAAAAACACAATGGGGTCCAGAATTTTACATAAACAAGCTTTTGGCGTAATTCTGGTAATCATTCATTTGTTTTTGGCCGAATTGGTAGAGTTCAATAAAGTTTGTTGTCCTGGCATGGAACTGGCTTTAAAGCCGAGTCAACAGATTTCAGTAGTGTTGAGGCTTTAGAGAAGCTTAATATTAGGCAATTTATCTGTTCCCCAACCAGCTTTCCTCTCTTTAAGGGCGTCACTGTCCTGTTGGAAATATAGTTGTTTTTAAGTTTCAAGAGTCTAGCTAATAGCTTGAGGTTGTGCTGAAGTTCTGCAGCCTGTCAGTGTGTGGTGATGTGAAACATGATTGGTGGTAGACTGACACTGGTGTTCCAGTAGGGGTGGGGGAAATGATCAGTGTGTCATAGTATCAGAGTGTTTTATGTGGTGATAATGTATCAATAGAGAAACACCAAATATGTGCATTTTATGAAGTGTATAAAATGTTCTGGCTCATCTCATGCACCACCATCCACCACAGCAGTAAAAATGGGAAAAGAACCTCTTTGCAAAAAATCAGTGTCAGTCTGATGATTTTCTTTCATATTCTCTGACCGACTGCAACTGCAACTTATTGTGACTAATAGGGCTGGGCCATATTATACCGTTCACGGTAATACCGGTATAATGTTAGGCAACGATAGGAAAATGAAATATCGCGATAGAATGGGAGTAAAACGCGCATGCGCAGTGCCTTTGTTTTCATACGCACATGACCGATTGTTGGTTTGTAAAAATGGTGCAACTTCCGTGATGTGGAACTGGTTTGGTGTTTGTCCATCAGATACACAACAAAGCACATTTTTTTGCAGAACATGCAAGCGGCCGTTGTTATTGTCGTATTTGTCGGACTAAGATGCTCTTAAATCTGGGAGTAATCTGGGTCCCAAACTCCGTATATTTGACTTCAGGTCAAACAACCCTGCAGCATCACTGAGAGTTGAAAACTGTCTAAATTCTTTGATCTTTAATAAAATGATCAGCATTGCTGCTTTACCAAGTGTAACTATAAAGTTTAACTTCCAGGCATCCATGAAAACAAAAGTTATTACATTTAACGGAGTTAGAAGTTAGCAGGAAGCTAGCGGAAGTTAGCTCGCTAGTTTCGCTAGTTACCTAAGCATGATATAGCATGTTCTGACTGAGAGATTTCTGAAAAAATTCAAACGTACAGCTCTGCTATCACTTCCAACATAAATGAAGACAGGAAACTAAACAGCAGTGACGTTTTTAGGGTTACTGAAGTTGGGCTAGCTGATATATAATGATGTGCTATGTGATCGCTAGCGACACAGCTATGTTAGCATAACATAAACAGTGAAGCTGGAGGACGAACACTAACACTTTTCCACTTATAAAAGTTAACGTGAAGGTTCTTCATGGTTAGAAACAAATGCAATCGCATGGCAGGACCAAACTTCAGTCAGGAGAACAACTGAGATAATCCATCCACAATACGAGGTTAGTCATTAATATACTGCAACAACATGGGAATAGCTCAGCTGCCAGAGAATTCAACATTAATGAATCAATGGTACAGAAGTGGAGGAAGCAAGAAGAATGAGTTTAATAAAGTTTGATTTATCTGACTGCTTTGTTTCGCTTAATGTGCCTTATAATCCCGTGCAACTTATGGTCCGAAAAATGCGTACTGCACACTGCAGTTTAATGTTGCAAAGCACCTCTTTTTAACTTCAGTGGATATTATACATGGTTATGCTCAGGATATGTCAGCCCATTTCTACTGGAAATGCCTTTGGGTTAAACTTTCAGCAAGGAATTTGCATTTGCACTGTTACATTTTTATAAAGCTTTAATGTACATAAAAACCAGCTTCTTGTTTACGTGAAAATAAATGGAAGGTTGTCTTTTTGCGCTAGTAATGTTGTGGAGTTGTATTTTGTCTCGCATCAATTATATCGTCAGTTATATCGTTATCGCAAATTTTCAAATATATATCGTGATAAATATTTTTGGCCATATCGCCCTGCTCTAGTGACTAAATGGTTGCTTCGAGCTTGAGGCTGTCGCACATTCACGACCACTTTTGATCGCAATGTGATTGCGCAGGCTGGTCAATCAGCGGCAACCCTGCAGAACGGTGGTATTCCTGAAGAACAGGAAGTTTGCTGAGTGCAGTGGTAATAGTTAAATATGCATTTCGTCCAAATGTGAATTTCTTTCTATGTAGCAAGCAACAGACTTTCAATGATTGATCACAGTTAAAAAGATTGCTTGCAATAGCCAACTTGACCCCATTCAATTGATGGCAGGCTAACTCCCATCTTATGGCAACATTTATGGCAGGTTTTAGTGACAGTGCTGGTGTGTTTGGCTCATTTTACAGCAAGAAAAACTTGACGTGAGATGACTTTGTCTTATTGGATTAAACAGGCACTGTTAAAGTTAATCTTTGAGGACATAATTTGCAGTTGGAAAAGGTGATAAATTACAATATATGTTGCAATACTCTGCACATTGCAAAATGTTAGAAATGGCAGTAATATTGTATTCATGGGGTGTCTGCTCATTCCCACTTCTGCCTTCTAGCCGCTTCTACTTCAATGCAGACCTGTGCTTTGGTGATTTCTGGATAATTTCTCCAACTTTGTGTCAGCCGAGCCGAATGTTGTTGTCGTTTTTAACGTGTAAACGTCGGACAATTTCAGAAAAAACGGTCAGGACATTTTCTACAGTTGCCCTTTCTCCTTAGCACAAAGAATGAAAGGTTCTACTTCAGGTGCTTTTAACACAACTGGAACTACTCAGTGTTGTTTATACGAGGGTGCTGCCTTGATAGAGCACGCTGAAAGCGGTAAACATGACGCCCACTCAGTAGGTGAACGCACCTGACAGATAGCTGCGCTGCTCACACATCTGCATAATTCGACATCGCAGACTTTATAGTAGGGAGCTATCAGGTTAAAGACCGGCTAATGTTCAGTCTGACTGCATTTGTGTTCCCCCGTGCACGTCTGTTGGGTGATGTCTGGAGGAGTTCAGGGCTGTAGTGCACGCATCAAAGCTTTTGAGTCCTTTTCAGACTCTGACAAAGTGGCTGCACTTCATTTAAACTGATAATCTTAGACTATAAAAGTCTTTAGAAATGGCTTCAAGAGATGTCCCCGACTTGTGCAAAATCGTCTTTCTCAGACGTGCTCTGAGCTCCTTGGACTTGCTGGTGAGTCTAGTCATTCACCAGCATTTGGAACTTGCAGCAGCGCTGAATTAATACGCGGATGTAAAGTTTTGAGCCTCTACATGGGATCAGAACCATGTGTTCATTTCAGGGGTTTTTTGCTTTCTGCTCCAGAAAAAAACAGTTTGCAGAACTGATTGAAATCAGATGTTGCTGTAACGTCTCATGTGCGTGTAACTGTATGATCATACAGAATGAATTCAGGGTGGGTTTAACATGGCGTAAGCTGTTTATCCGCATCGTGTTTCAGTCAGAAATGCCTTTAACCTCATTTAACAAAATATTTTTGAATGCTTTAGTTATTTAACAGGATTTGACATTTCATCTCGACATCTCTGTTAAATCACAATACTGTTGGCTTGTGGATAAATTGTCAGTTTCCTGTCTCCGCAGCCTTTCAGACAGAAGGGAAACTGTATTTAATACTGGACTTTCTCAGGGGAGGGGATGTATTCACTCGCTTATCCAAAGAGGTAAGCTGGCATTCTGTTGTCTTACATGTTGTTGTGCCTTCAAGCTTATTTTTGTCTTTATTCTGTTTATTTTGTACTTCGGTTAAAAAAAAAAAAAAAAAAAAAAAAAATCTGAGATGTTCTTAAAAATAAAAATCCTGTTAGTGCCCATGTTTGTGAAACTCAGAGCTACAGATGCCAAAATGTTAATTTATAAACCCTAAGGAAATGTAAATATGACGGCAACTAATGGAGCAGGTGCAATTTTAGTATGCAAGAGTATTTTATTTATTTTAAAAGCGCATAAATGTGCCAAGTCATTTGTCTCTGATATCTTCTGTTTGTTTTTTATTCAAATTCCGACTTGAATTCCTCATGAAAAGGCAAGTGCTTTTCCTCGGAATCTTTATTCCCCCTTTTTCATCATCAGCTGCTTGTCAGTCAGATTCCCGGCTCAGCTTTTCTCAGATGCTTTCAGGGCACTCAGACAATGTGTGATTGTTCTCTGGATAGACCTATTGTTGAAAGCATGTCTCAGAACCAAAGCGATAGCTGCCAGCGGCGTCAGATCAACAGCTTGCCGAATCCTGAAACGTATTTGAAATGTTGATGTTGTTGTGACAATAACGATAATACTCTTTTTCTCTGTTTTGGTAACTGAAGCTTAATATTCAAGTTTGGTTTTGTTTTTTTGTTTGTTTGGTTTTTTTTTGTTTCCTTTGCTGCTGCTGAATTTCTCTTCAGAGTTCAAAGAGTAAATTTGTCCAGTTCTTATCAGGTTATGTTTACAGAGGAAGATGTGAAATTCTACCTTGCAGAGCTGGCCCTGGCCCTTGACCATCTGCACAACCTGGGCATAGTTTACAGAGATCTCAAGCCAGAGAAGTAAGAATCACAGACCTCATCTTCCCCTTTCAGCCTGTTGTAGCAAAGCCCTGCGCAATGGCACAGAACGGAGTACAGAAGGGAACTGCAAAAGCCGATTGCTTTTGGTTTCATTACAAACATTTTCAAGTACAAAACCACTTTGATCTTTCACCTATATTGCTGCAAACTATATTGTGTGTGTGTGTGTGTGGTGTGTGTGTGTGTGTGTGTTGTTAGCAGCTAATACAATTATTAACATATAGTCTGAATTAAAACAATAGCTGTAAAAACAATAGACCTATTGATTACACAGCCACGTAAAATAAAATGTGACTAATCAATATGTGTATGCATAAATTCAAATAGTTAAAGTTTTTTTTTTTTTTTAAATCTGACTTAAAAAAAAAAGATAAAGATCTCTGCTCAGTTTGAGTCTGCGTTAGTTTCCCCACGGTGTGCGGCCCTCACACACACGGAGTGGAGCAGAGTAAAGCTGACAACATGCCAGGTCACTGTAAATGCAAGGCAGCGTTTGACGCTTGTTGGGAGGCTAACATAGCAGTTGGAATGGAGAAAGAAGCTGTCTGAGGCTCTCTTATTGTCGGCTCACTCAGCCAAAACGAGTCGCAAAAAAAAGTCAGAAACTGCTGAACGACTGCGAAACAAACAACTTATTGGTGAGAGAGGGTGAGATACCTCCAGACAGCACCTGCCTTTGCTGTCTTGCACTTTAAAAAAAGAAAAACCATAATTATCAGTATTGGATCACAGTTCCTTACAAATACAAAATTGCTCCATCTCTAATATGATTTCATTTCTGTAAATGAAAATTTAACATAAATACATACCATAAATCTAGGAAAATTTCTCCATATCACAAGGCGGATTTGATCAAACATTCATTTTTCAAGAAAATCAGTTGAAGGGTTATTTTTGTTTTCTAACTTACCTGCTGTATGAAAAGAAATTTTGGTTTAGTTTTTCCGGCTTTTGCTCCGTTTTTCATAAAATGTCTGCAGCGTACGGATTGAACGTTTTATACAAACCTCTCAGAACTCACTCGCTTTAGTCGTGCTTTATGCAGAAATCACAAAACATGAGATGCTTTGATGCTCACCTCTGTGAAATCTCTTCTTGTCTTTCAGCATCTTACTTGATGAAGCTGGACACATAAAGTTAACAGGTATGAGCTACCTTACTTTTTTTGACTATGAAGAATCAGGAAAGAGTCTAATGTAGTTAACCTGTTAAATATGACCATGCTTAAAGTGATAGATGTGCCACTACTGTTGAGTATTGAGTCCTACTAGTTTTGTTGTTTGTCAAATATCTTACTCGTGTGCTCCTCACACACGACGGAGTTTCACTGCCAGAGACGCCCGATGTTGCTGTCAGAAATCAAACTAACAGTCGGAAATGTCCTCCTGCTTTCTCTCATTTGATGATGATGGATCAGTGTAGCCGTGTTTCACTTCTGCTTATTATGAGTTTCGTAATAATGATATTGATTAGATGCATCAACAAAACATTAAAAATTTTAAGATCAGTTTTTAATGCAAAGGTAAAATTATGCCTTAAACAAAAGCAAATCTGTGATCACTGAAATGAGTTAACTGTTTCTATTTATTTCCTGTTTGTTGTGGTTGCTGTTGCTGTTTTCTAACTGTTTGATTTATATTTGTGTTGCTATACTGCATCTTAAAAGCCTAACCAGGAAAAGATCTGCAAGTTAGCTTGGTTAGAAGTCGTACGTGTATTGCATTGGTTACGTTTTTATTTAAATGCAGCAACGTTAATATGCATGGTCTGTGTTTTGTATAAATAAGTAAAATCCAAATGCAAACATTTGCAGTAAATCTGTAACTTCTTGCCTAAAACTTTACTATGTTACACAGACTTTGGTTTGAGTAAAGAGTCGGTAGATGCTGATAAGAAGGCATATTCCTTCTGTGGTACGGTGGAGTATATGGCCCCTGAGGTGGTCAACAGGAGAGGACACACGCAGAGTGCAGACTGGTGGTCTCTGGGAGTACTTATGGTACGCAACCTCACACAAACCTGATTTAAATAGGAAGAAAAGACATGGGACATATGTATTCATAGGAATTTTATACATTAAAGTAAAAGGAAAAAACCTGACCTATGGTGTGTTTGCAGTTTGAAATGCTCACAGGGACGTTACCATTCCAAGGGAAAGACCGCAATGAGACTATGAACATGATTCTCAAGTGAGTCATTATGAATGACATCATTAAGGCATGTCAGACAAGTTTTGATATGTAGATGATAACAGTGACACCCCCCCCATGTTCATCTGTCACTCTGTTGTCTCTCTCCCTGCAGAGCTAAGTTGGGAATGCCCCAGTTCCTTAGTTTGGAAGCCCAGAGTTTGCTGAGAATGCTGTTTAAACGTAACCCTGCTAACAGGCTAGGTAAGGAAACGTGATCGTCAAGTCACGCTGTTCACTAAGCCTAAGGTTGGTTAACATTTTGGCATCCGCTTCTACCTCGAAATCGGCCAAGAGGTTAATAATGTGCGGATGAGTCGATGAAAAGCAATAACGCTGGGTTAACTGAACCAGAGCCATCTGTGTCTTTAGGGGCCGGGCCCGACGGCGTGGAAGAGATCAAACGCCATGCATTCTTTTCCACCATCGACTGGAATGTGAGTGCACACACCAACACGCACTTGTCACACTCTTTTTCTTTTTTCCTCCTCTCTCCCACACACCCACACGCATAAACACACACACACACAACTCCCCAGCTTCTGCTGAGGATTCACACCTAACAAATGCTTGGCGTGGTGACTACTGGCCATCAGTCTTGGCCACGGGATCTGTGTTTGTGTGTGTGTGCGCGTATGTGTGTGTGCATGAGTCTGGGCAGAGGTCCAATTCTCACTGTGTGTGCACTAATAGCCCTGCATGAGCGTTTAAGAGCCGGCAGGATGCTATTGGCCGGACCAAGCGGTGGTGGGATTTCAGGGGGTTAATCTGGGAGGGGGTCTTGGCCTCTCCTGCACATATGTTCACACGCTCCAGACGGCCTGTGATAGTTTGATTCCTCACACGTTTACGTGTCTCCTGCATTTTTGTACCTGCAGAAACTGTACAGGAGAGAGCTCCAGCCCCCGTTCAAGCCCGCAGCAGGTAAACCAGATGACACGTTCTGCTTTGACCCAGAGTTCACCGCTAAAACGCCGAAAGGTACACCTACACACACACACAAGCACGCACGCACGTTCTGCTCACATGTTTTTAAGCTTACAAGCAACAGCTAGTCCTGCAGCCATGGAAACAGCAACTGCAAAATGTTAGTGGGTGTTTATGTTAGTCTGTTTATATTCTGAATTATCTTGGTTTATTTAGACTCCCCAGGTATCCCGCCCAGTGCTAATGCACACCAGCTCTTCAAAGGCTTCAGTTTTGTTGCGCCGACCCCCATGGATGAGAACAAGGGCTCCCCGCTGCTCAGCATCCTCCCCATAGTTCAGGTGAAGATGCATTATCGTAACCTTGTATTCGCTCACTCTTTACACGAGGTACTTAATGGTACTTGAAGTATTGTCTTGCATGCACGAAGCTCACACAGACTTTTTTTTTCTCTTTTCATGAAGCAGCGTTCATGAGAAACTATTGTAATCTCTAGAAATTCAGCAGTTTCTCCTCCTGTTTTGGAGCCATGCATAAATTTCATGATGCAGTTGCAGCTCTGTGCAGAACACAGTAAGACAGATCGGTCACTGAAACATTGTAACTAATACCTGAGTGCTGCTGACACGGTTTCTTTCTGTTGCCTGCTGATTGTAATTACAGTGGAATAGTTTGGATTGGTGGCAGAGGTCTAGGATCCAAATTAAATGATCTTGTAATGACTGTTCTGCTGCTGACCGACACAAACAAACAGGCACATTACAAAGTTGATGGCAGGTTTGCTGCGGAGCACCTGTGTAAATGTGCAGCAATAGTTTCACTCTGGACAGTTTGGTGCCGATGTCCACCTGAACTTTAGGTTGACCTGCTAAACATTTGGTGGTTAAAGGTCAAACTATTAGATAAAATGATGAAGTACTCAGTCTTTTTATTTTTTTTCTTCTCCAAAGGTCAACTTCACTGACATTATGTTCTTTGTTGTGGGACTCAAATTACCAGGATGCTCTAACATTTGATACACGTTGTTGACTTGCATAGACAAGCTGAAGTGTCACTTGCATCCTTCAGCGTCGCTCGTGAAGGACACGAGGTGATGCTGTGCTGGAACTTTTTTTTTTGTAATGTCACAGGACACTGTATAAATGTTAATGATTCCTGCCCTTTCCAGCTGCACGGAGGCTCAGCCAAGTTCTCCGACATGTACGAGCTGCAGGAGGACATCGGGGTCGGCTCCTACTCTATTTGTAAACGCTGTGTACACCGAGTCTCTGCCATGGACTATGCTGTGAAGGTAACCGGCTGTTTCCTTGTGACCTCTGAACATGTTAAAGAATCTATACCAGAGGACAGAAGTGTTTTGTTTTTTTTAGATGGCTTGTTTTCTCATAACTGCATCTCGATCATGTTGGGAAATTTCATTATGTTTATGTAAATTACATTTACATTACAGCACAAATGTGCACTCGGAGTCAGGCGTGAGCTGTTTAGAATTTGGGTTCTTTCAAAATCACTGCATCTTCACTGCCAGTCCTCAAGAACTGACACTGATTATAGCAAAAGTTCATAAAAATGTCTAAAAGTAGAAGTTCTTTAAAAACATATGTGAATGTCAGACGCTTGAATTGGTGACACAAATCTGTGGAGCCTGCTTTATTCCTCCAAAGCCTTTCCTGTGTGCGTTCTCATGCTTGGACAGGCATGGATGTAAACTGCAGCTTCTTTAGTTTGCAGTGTCCTGCAGCTGCAGGTTAATAGATCGCTAAGTGGCACGACTGGTTCGTTTTATTACACATGCTTTGCACCTCTTGGTAGAGCCAATGAAAGTACAGTTGATGTGTGTAGAATAAGAGTTTGTGGACATCAGCGTCTTTAACTATCGATACATTTAAAACAGAGCGACTCAAATGGAATTTGGTTATTCATAAAGCACCAGCAGATGGCAGCACAGCTTCAGTTTGCTTTTAGTGTCTCAAGTCTCTGATAGAAGTTAGAGTTGTTTGATCACTAATACTGTGTTTGTGTTTCACTCAGATTATAGACAAAAGTAAGAGGGACCCCTCTGAAGAGATCGAAATCCTGATGCGATATGGACAGCACCCCAACATCATCACTCTGAAAGACGTCAGTGACATTTATGTGTGAGCTTTCCGACACAGTCGGCTTTTGGCGGGTATATTCTGACGGGTTGTGTTGTCTCTGTGTCAGGTGTATGACGAGGGCAGGTATGTATACCTGGTGACGGAGCTGATGAAGGGAGGGGAGCTGCTGGATCGAATCCTCAGGCAGAAGTTTTTCTCCGAGAGAGAAGCAAGTGCTGTTCTTTACACCATTACAAAGACTGTTGACTACCTCCACTGCCAAGGGGTGAGGAAACGCTTACACGCGCGTGCACAGCAGAGTTAATTTGGACACGTTTTCTGAATATCTTCTCCTTCTCCTCAGGTAGTACACCGAGACCTGAAGCCCAGCAACATCCTGTACATGGACGACTCGGGGAATCCCGACTCCATCAGGATCTGTGATTTTGGATTCGCTAAACAGCTCCGGGGAGGCAACGGCCTCCTTCTAACCCCCTGTTACACCGCCAACTTTGTGGCACCAGAGGTGAGCAGGAAGCAAGGCAAAAAAAGAGAATCCATGATCTGCTTTGTTTCTGAGTCTGATGGCTTGTGTTGTTCTTTGTTTCCGTAGGTACTAATGCGACAAGGTTATGATGCAGCCTGTGATATATGGAGCCTTGGAGTCTTGCTGTATACCATGTTAGCAGGGTAAGACTGCACACAGAACTCTCAGGAGACGTTTGGATGATTAATAGCAAACTGCATGTGATGCGATTATGCATTTCATAATCTGCGCTTTGTTTTCATCGCTGTCAGGTACACACCGTTCGCTAATGGGCCAAACGACACACCGGAAGAGATTCTTCTCCGGATAGGATCTGGGAAGTTCTCTTTGACGGGTGGCAACTGGGATACTGTGTCAGACAGCTCGAAGGTACACACTGACACATTGTTCTAAATCCTTTTGTTCAGGCTTCCTTTTAAGCAGCTGTGATGTTTCCTTTTGTAAACCCAGCGTTGTAAAGTTTAATGAAGACGACCCGCTTTTCCCATGTACTTAAAAGTTTGATACAAATTATGCCGTTGACTTAAAATTGGCCAGAATTAAACCTTTATACCCGTATGAATTCATAGTGGCTTTTTAAAATGTGCCCTTTAATCTTTAGAAATCTGTATTTGTGTATTCCAGGACTTGCTGTCCCATATGCTCCATGTGGACCCTCACCAGCGATACACAGCAGAGCAGGTTCTAAAGCATTCCTGGATCACGTGCAGAGATACGCTACCGCACTTCCAGCTCACACGCCATGATGCACCGCACCTCGTCAAGGTGAGTAGATCCAACCGTATCCCGCTAACAAAGACCTCAATTTACAGGAACAATTATTATTATCTACTACAGTTAAATGATTAGTAACACCTCAACATGTGTGCTGGACTTAAGACCTGTAAGAGTTTTCTCATTTACGTCAGAAGATTTGTGCCCTGTGTGCACAGATGGACAGTGATAACGTTGTATTTAGAAGGAAGTTGTTGTTTTTTTTGTTTTTTTTTATGGAGCGATGTGCGGTGGAAACGAGCAGATTTGTGAGCAGATGAGGAGGCTGAGGAAGAGTAAACGGTTTAGTGGAGGCTATTTGTGGAGCCACTGCTGGTACTTGTGTACGGAGGCGCGTGTGGGCGCAAAGTTGGAGCTAAAAGTGTTCAGATCGTGATGTCGGTGGCTTCAGTGAAACAGATTTCCTCCAAAACGTCAGGATTTTGAGGACTTTTTTTATTTATTTTTTGTCCACTGCTGCCAAATGAAAGGGCCAGTTTGGGGACGTAATTCTTCAGCAGATGCTTTAAAACAAACCACAGACTGAGCAGATCCTGTATACTGCCGAAGGTTGTTTCAAAGTTTAGGCGTCACAAATTGAAAAGCACAGTAATGCCTGTATTTAAGACTGGAGCCAGAAATGGGTCTAAGGCAAATGAGTGGAGAGGTCAATCATTTCTGCCCTCACTCTGCTGGAATACGGACACCCTAATGTGGCTGGACACACGGGGGCCAGGTCAGGTTGTCTGGGTATCATTTGTGCTAAGCACTCGACCCAGCTGAGCTGACCTCTCTTAATCTCAGAGAGCAGCAGCTGTATAAAAGGCCAGAGTCATGCACAGGATTTTGCTTCTGACTTTTTACACTTCCTGATCCGGTGATAATGTCGCCATTAAAGGAAGGACCAGATTAACAGCAGGTTTCAGTCCTAAAAATCCAAGAATTCTTTGTTAATCCTTGTGTCTCCAGACTGCTCAGTTAACATTAGGTAGCCTGGACTAGAGCAGGGCGATATGACCAAAAATATTTATCACCATATACATTTGAAAATTTGCGATAACGATATAACTGACGATATAATTGACACTAGACAAAATACTTTACAACTCCACAACTTTATTAGTGAAAAAAAACATCAATGTATTTTCGCTTAAACAAGCAGCTGTTTTTTATGTGCATTAAAGTTATCTAAAAATTTAACAGTGCAAATGCAAATTTCTTGCTGACAGTTTAACCAAAAGGCATTTCCAGTGGGAACTGGCCGACATATCCTCAGCATAACCACGTATAATATCCACAAAACTTAGAAAGAGGTTATACACACACACACTATACGGTAACATTATGTTGAAGCACAGTACGTATCACTCTGCGAGGCTCCTCCCTATGATAGCCATAATGCTCCGACAATCCATCAAGCGGTGCGGGTTCGTAGCTTAGCAAAGTCGTACTAAAACATTCGACAGATTTTCGAGCGCCGTGTACATAAAATCGTTTCAAGGTCAGTAAACAACCAGAATTCATACATAAGGCACACGGGATTATAAGGGGTACTGTCGATTTTCAGAAAAATCAAAGGATTGATTTTAAGTGTGCCGTATTTTCCAAAAAACACGGTAATAACGACGGCCCGCTAGCATGCTCTACCAAAAATAGTGCTTTGTTGTGTATCTGACGGATGAAAGCCAAACCAGTTCCACATCACTGAAGTTGCAGCATTTTTACAAACCAGTTCTGGTTCATTCGTTTTATTCAACGATCCGCTTTCGCTCTTCTCATTCTCCGTCGCAGGCACGCTTTTTCCTACATGTGTGTATGAAAACAAAGGCACTGCGCATGCGCGTTTTACCCAAATTCTATTGCGATATTTCATTTTCTTATCGTTGCCCAACATTATACCGGTATTACCGTGAACGGTATGATATGGCCCAGCCCTAGCCTGGACTGCACCGTAACCTCTGCTGGTCATGTCAGAATTCTGCCTAATGTCTACTTTCAATAATTAACTGTATCCACACAGAAAAGCTCATTAAACTGTAAACCGCAGAAACATTAGATGCCTAATCAAGGACTCTTAGACTGTGTGGCAGAGTAGCTGCTTGTCATGTTTTTATTTTTCTTACTGGGGGGGAAGGGAAAACAATTCGATGTGGATCACAGAGGATTACTAAAAGAGGAGGAAGTTACCCAAAGACATTTTCAAATCACCTTTCAGCCTTGGTTGTCAGTATATTGGCCCCTACCTGTCACTCAAATGTATCATATCCATTATAACAGCGGTCTCCGTCCTCTTTTGCGCCTCGGATCGGTTTAATGTCAGACAGTATTTTCACGGACCGGCCTTTAAGGTGTCTCTGATAAATACAACAAAATAAAATGATACGGCCGAGACAAAAACTGTGGTATTTTGTAAATATAATAATAAATGTGAATTCACTGTGTAATTGTAACTTTATTAGCAGCGTCCTCCTGAAATGCGTCAACAACGTTGAGAGTAACATCCTCCTCTCTGCCCCTTAGTGCTCTGGTCGCTATGGTAATGCGTAAATATTTCTTTCAAAATAAGACTCACAACTACAACACTGGGAAAGACCCAGGGAAACGGAGTTAACGATAAAAACCTTGAAAACCACAAATTTTACACCCGAGCCTCAACTCTCACGGTCCAGTACCAAACGACTCACGGACCGGTGAGCCATTAAACAAAAAATAGTTTAGATATTTTAATTTTTACTGTAAAGTTAGATTTTCAAACTTTTTGGGAGTCTTAAACAGCCATTTGAGGAACTGCGGTTGGTTGGACAAAACATGTGACCATCTCATTTACCAAATCTGGGAAAATGTGATCGACACAGATGGGAAAATATGACAATTTACAGTGGCTTGCAAAAGTATTCGGCCCCCTTGAAGTTTTCCACATTTTGTCACATTACAGCCACAAACATGAATCAATTTTATTGGAATCCCACGTGAAAGACCAACACAAAGTGGTGTACACGTGAGAAGTGGAAGGAAAATCATACATGATTCCAAACATTTTTCACAAATAAATAACTGCAAAGTGGGGTGTGCGTAATTATTCAGCCCCCTGAGTCAATACTTTGTAGAACCACCTTTTGCTGCAATTCCAGCTGCCAGTCTTTTAGGGTATGTCTCTACCAGCTTTGTACATCTACAGACTGAAATGCTTGCCCATTCTTCTTTGCAAAACAGCTCCAGCTCAGATTAGATGGACAGCGTTTGTGAACAGCAGTTTTCAGATCTTGCCACAGATTCTCGATTGGATTTAGACACCAGACAGGTCAGGGATAAAGTTATTGAGAAATTTAAAGCAGGCTTAGGCTACAAAAAGATTTCCCAAGCCTTGAACATCCCACAGAGCACTGTTCAAGCGACTGTGGATGAGCTGCAGAGATCTACAGCTCAGGTGGGGGAATATGTCCATTTTTGGCCAAAATGCAAAACACTATGTGTGGCGGAAAACTAACACTACACATCACTCTGAACACACCATCCCCACTGTCAAATATGGTGGTGACAGCATCAGTCTCTGGGGGTGCTTCTCTTCAGCAGGGACAGGGAAGCTGGTCAGAGTTGATGGGAAGATGGATGGAGCCAAATACAGGGCAATCTTGGAAGAAAACCTCTTGGAGTCTGCAAAAGACTTGAGACTGGGGCGGAGGTTTACCTTCCAGCAGGACAACGACCCTAAACATAAAGCCAGGGCAACAATGGAATGGTTTAAAACAAAACATATCCATGTGTTAGAATGGCCCAGTCAAAGTCCAGATCTAAATCCAATCGAGAATCTGTGGCAAGATCTGAAAACTGCTGTTCACAAACGCTGTCCCTCTAATCTGACTGAGCTGGAGCTGTTTTGCAAAGAAGAACGGGCAAAGATTTCAGTCTGTAGATGTGCAAAGCTGGTAGAGACAAACCCTAAATGACTGGGAGCTGGAATTGCAGCAAAAGGTGGTTCTACAAAGTATTGACTCAGGGGGCTGAATAATTACGCACACCCCACTTTGCAATTATTTATTTGTAAAAAATGTTTGGAATCATGTATGATTTTCATTCCACTTCTCACGTGTACACAACTTTGTGTTGGTCTTTCACGTGGAATTCCAATAAAATTGATTCATGTTTGTGGCTGTAATGTGACAAAATGTGGAAAAGGTCAAGGGGGCCGAATACTTTTGCAAGCCACACTGTAACTTTAACAATATTTCGTCAGCTTCTGTTACATTATTGAAACTATATTATCTTTTTCCCAGCCAGTAAGAAACAATTTAATTATATATTTATACAGTAGCAGTGGTGGTGAGGCCAGCTGAAACATTAAAGCCACGTGTCTTTGTTTCATCAGGGAGCGATGGCTGCCACCTATTCAGCTCTGAGCCAGAAGACGAGTCAGCCAGTGTTGGAGCCTGTGGCGGCATCCAGTTTAGCCCAGAGACGCAGCATGAAGAAACTCACCTCAACGGACATGTAGACCCATGTTTCTCACCCACCAGTTTTGATCTCACTCTGTCAGACTCATACGCAAACAAGAAAAAGCAAAAAGTACGCGCACACCCACAGCCCCAAGTCTTGGCCAGTCAGAACTACTGTCTCCCAGGTTTTCTTTTAAAAAAAAAAAAAAAAAAATCTATTTATTTGAAACACCGGAACATCTGCAATCACAGACACACACACACAGGACGAGGTTGCGTTGCAGAAGTCAGCCGAAGACGAACAGAGGAACCTCGTATCTGTTACTGCTGGGGAGACAGACTTGTATTTATTTCCACAGCTTCTCATATGCACTTACCCTCCTCGCCTTTCATTCTTTCTTCCTTTTTATGTGAGGAAGAAACGCACCAGCTGATGTTTTCCTTCACTGTGATTGGCTGATTAAAAAGCTGCTTTGGTTAAACTGTGCTCCCCCCCCACACACTGCTCTTCATCTTCGCTCCGCCATCCTCCTCTCCCCTCATTTGCTTTTACTTTTTTTTTTTTTTTTTTTTTTTTTTTTTTTTTTTTTTTCAACGTGAAGTAATGATTTATGTGTGAGAGTGCTGGCAAGTTGGTATTGACTGAGGTACTTTGCATAACCGTTTCCTTTCTGAGACAAAAATAAAAAAATAAATGTATTAAAAAAAATCAGATACTGCTTGAAGCGGGTTTGAAGGTTCTTCAGAACCAAAATCACTTCCCAGCACTTTTGGTAACATAAACGCATGTGTGGACAGATCCTGTATTGCTTTTCCCTTGAAACTCAGTCGGATTTGTTTTACTTGTGTATCAAAAGACGTAAACATGCTGCAGACGGACAAAAGATACTGTCTCGCTACTGAAGGTGAACCTATGTGGTAACAAGAAATCGTTTGCAAAAATGATATAACTATATAGAACATAATGAAGATGAAGAGCATGTGGGGGGGAGCTGTCGGGATTTCTCTGGGGGGGATGGGACGCACCCTGTCGAACCAGAGAGGCTGAATTTAAAAGAATAAATAAATGAATAACAAAAAAACATTTCCAAGGAAATCTCTTCAAAAGACATTGTGGAAATTGTATGATACTGTATTTATTTCATTTGATTTTTAAGATTCTATTTTTCTTTCAAGTTCTGTATATATTGACATTAAAGATCATTATTGACATGCATCCACTGTGGTCTGTGCTGCTTTGTTACATAGCGCTGAGGCAGATTTAACACATGAGTGTGACAGAGCCAGCGTTCATGTGAAGAGGTAACTTCAGTTTTAGTGATCCTTCTGATTTACTTGGTTAGAATATGTGAAGAGCAGAAACAACGGGTACTGTTGAACCCACTTTTGTACCATCTAATAATTCTTTGTAGCACAGATTCAACAAAGTTCTGGAAACACTCATGAGATTTTGTTCAATGTTGATATGATGCAATCACACAGTTAGCTGCACATCCATGATGTGAATCTCCTGTTCCGCCACATCCCAAAGGTGCTCTACTATATTGAACTGGTGACTGTGCAGGACATTTGAGTACACTGATCTCATGTTTGAGATGATCTAAACTATATGACATGGTGTAGCAGTCTGCAGGAAAAACAGTCATCAGATGATGAGTACACTCTGGTCATTTAAAAAAAAAAAATTCCCCCAGGGATCAATAAAGTATTCTGATTCTGATTAAATGACGATCAGCGGCAATAGTTTAGGGTTTAAATTCTCACCTACCATACAAATGTTGCAGCGGAAATCGACTCATCAGACCAGATGATGTTGTTTTCAATCTTCTATTATCTAGTTTTTCTCACTCACCATCGATAACTCCACAGTTTTCCCTTCTCCTCAGGTTAAGAGCCTTGGTGTCATCCTAGACAGTTCACTTTCCTATAAATCTCACATCAATAATCTCACCCGTTCTGCCTACTTCCATCTACGTAACATTAACAGATTGCTTCCTTCTCTTTCCACCCAGTCTACGTCCATTCTTGTACATAGGCTTGTTACCTCCCGTATTGACTACTGCAATTCTCTTCTGCATGGTCTCCCCCAAAAATCCCTCCATAAGCTTCAACTGGTTCAGAACTCTGCTGCTCACATTATCACCAGAACCCCCTCCTACCAGCACATCACCCCTGTTCTTCAGGAACTTCACTGGCTCCCTGTGAAATTCCGGATAATTTTCAAACTTCTTCTGCTCACCTTCAAGGCTATTCATAACCTCGCTCCTTCTTACCTTTCTGACCTGTTAACCACCACTTGTTCTGCCTGTTCACTTCGTTCTTCTTCTTCTATCCAGCTTACTGTACCTTCCTTCCGCCTCACCACCATGGGAAGCAGAGCTTTCAGCTGCTCTGCTCCCAGGCTGTGGAACTCTCTGCCCCCTGAAATAAGAAATATTGGTTCTCTCCCCCAGTTTAAATCCCAACTCAAAACTCATCTGTTCAAATCTGCATATTCACTGTGAATCCACTGTTTGTTCATTTTATCTTGTGCTTTTATTTTATTGTTCTTATTCTGCCATTGTTTTACTAAGTGTTTTATCCTATTGTAAAGTGTCCTTGGGTGACTTGAAAGGCACTCATAAATAAAATTTATTATTATTATTATTATTATTATTATTAGTTTCGGTGAACCCTAGTAAATTGTTGGCTGTTTTCTATTCTTAGCTGACAGAAATGGCACCCATCATGGTCTTCTGCTACTTTAGCCTAGCTGCTTCTAGGTTAGACGTTCAGAGATGCTCTTCTGCACATCTTGGTTGTATCAACTGGTTGTTTGAATTGCTGTTGCCTTCCTATCAGCTCAACGCAGTCTGTTTTATCTTCTATCACCTGGTTATGTGGGAAAATCTCAGCAGATGAGCAGTTTCTGAAACACTCAGGCCAGCCTGAGTCTGCACCAGCAATCATGCCACAATCAAAGTCACTCAATCACCTTCTCCACTGATGTTCAATTTGAACTTCAGCACGTGGCCTTGACCTCACATGTATTGAGTCGCTGCCATGTGACTGGCTGTGTAGATATAGATGTTAATAAGCAGTTGATCCATTGTGATACTCACCCTGAGTGTAATTCTAGTGAAAAACAAACAGAAAAAGAGTTGAGGAAGGAAAAATGTCAATCACCTCCACCTGTGAAAGCATCCCTGTTTTGGAGGTTGTCTCATTGTTGCCCCTCTACTACACCTGTTGTTCATTTTATTGACACCAAAGTAATTGAAACTGATTAACAACACCCTCTGCTACACTACCAGTCAAAAAGTTTGGACACACCTTCTCATTCTTTATTTTCATGACTACTTACGTTGTAGATTCTCACTGAAGGCATCAAAACTATGAATGAGCACATGTGGAATTATGTAGTAAACAAAAACGTCTGAAATAACTCCAAACACGTTTTAGATTCTTTAAAATAGCCACTACTGCTTTGCACACTCTTCATCGCCTGCAATGGTTTCCAACACTCTTGAAGGTGTTCCCAGAGATGCTGAGCACTTGTTGGCTCTTCTGTCGGTCCATTTCATCCCAAACCATCTCGACTGGGTTTAGGTCAGGTGACCGTGGAGGCACTCCATCACTCTCCCTCTTGGTCAAATAGCCCTTACACAGCCTGGAGGTGTGTTTGGGGTCATTGTCCTGTTGAAAACTAAATGATGTTCCAACTAAAATAGCTTTAACAGTTGTGTCAGAAAAAAAAAAGTTTTTCGTTTGCGAACTTGAGTGAACCGGTTCTTTCCAAAATACCTGCGCATCTCGAGCCGCTTCTTCTTCCCTTTGTTCCCCTGCCTCCCCCAACAAACATCAATGACCTGCAGCGGGTTCTAGCCACCACTAGGTGGTATTACCTTCCAGTACATGCCAACTTCCACAAGCGTTGAACACGCAGCGTCCCAGGTTGGATCCGTGTCCTCCTACCCTGATGTAAATCATCAGTCTCGCCTGCTTCCATTTTGTCTGCCCACCCCACCAGCACCACCTCCCCACCCCGCTCCCCTGAGGATATGAGCTCCTCTAAGCAGTGGCGTGTTAAAGGAGAAGCGCGCGTCTGCGTGTGAGTGTCTGCGTGTCGGAGCTGTCACGAGCAGACAGCAGAGGATGGAGGGTCTAGGCAGGAAAGCAGATGGATTGAGGCACGAGGACTGCTCCCATCACAATGCGCGCGCGCGCGCGCGCGCACACACACACACACACACACACACACACTTTGGCCCAGGGACCAGCTGTTGTCCTTTTCCTGAAACTGTCTGAGCTGACTCCCTCCTTCTCTCTCTGTCCTGGATTAGATGCATTTTGCAGTCATCGTGGGAGCTAAGAGGTAAACAGTGGGGCTAATTGCTTTGACATACTGCTCTTTGTTTTGGCCTCCTGGTGCTAATCAACCACTCGGCTAATAAGTCTGCCTGGCAATGAAAACACCACCGCGCTTAGGCTGGGAGGAAGGAGGAGAGCGGGACAGGTCTCTTCTCCGCTCACTCAAACCGATGCAGTCGTATCTGCAGCCCACACTCGCGTCTCTTCCACGGCTCCCACAGTGCTGCTGTGGCTGGGTAGCGCCCCGCTCAGGTGTGAATCTATTTATCCTCATTAACGAGCGTCTCCCTAAAGTCAGCCAATTAACACGCTGCTCCTAATGAAGCCATTAGCTGTCAGATGAGGTAGAGGCAGTGGCTGTCATCGGCCCACTGTGCGCGTGTTCGCGCGCGCGCGCTCCTGCAGCTAATAAAAGCGGGAGAATTAATGGAGTGAGCGCGTGTGATAATGAGTTAATGTGGAACAAGCAGGACGAGCGGTGATCAGCCCCCTGTCTCAAATGAAGATATCAGACACAGTGATTTACTCACTGCGCCACAAACAGGCCTTTCTTCTGTGTGTGTGTTTCCACGTTCGTGGGTTCCCCTATAAACCTGGCACTTTGTACAGCTTAATCGTGGGCCACGTGTGACCACCCTAACGTCACATCAACAAAAAAGTGCAGCCTGGAAAATGTCAAGCTGTACTGTATCGCTTTGTGTTCACATGTTGCTTAATTGATGGATCACACTGCACAGCGGTAATATAGCTTTAATTGACTGCAAAGGCATGAATGACACAGCCTAGACAGAGAGGAGCAACCGGATGTCAGAGGCAGCTGTTCCACTGACACGATTTTTATTATTAATTACTGACCCGGTGTGGGGGGGGGGCACACTAGTGATTCTGGGATTTTAAAGGGCTTCATCAGTGACTCCACTCATGTGAGAAACCTGGAAAACTCACACATACAAAAACTAAATTTATGCTTTTGCCAGGAGAGATGGAGCAATCCTTTCTGGAAGAGTCAAACCCACCCAACCTAACAGTTAGCCGACCCTGGTGTCACAATACCAGAGCTGAGGAGGTGAAACTGATTTCAGCTTACACCTGTTTGCAGATGCGCCCCCTTTCTCCCTCCTCATCCTCACCCTGCTTGCTTTTCTTCTGTCTCTCCACCGTCCAGTTGGAAGGTATACAGAGCTGACTGTCCTCCAGTGCATCAGCACCAGCGGCGATAAAGCAGCTGTGAAGTTTGCTCTCTCTCACTGAGACATTGTGCTCCTGCAGGACCAGGAGGTTATAATCCTGCAGAGGCTGAAAAATGCTGTGGTGTACATTATAATCGCCCTGCAACAAGTGTGAAACGTGCTGCTAACAGATAGGAACATAAAGACAAGACTCCAAAACAACTAAATCAATTCCCATGAGAGGAAGTTAACTTTTTTTCTTTATGCTCTGAGTCCAGAGCTTATTTATGAAGAATGAATCAAATCTTTCCCTCTTTTCTTCCTCTAGCTTCACCTGAGGCCTCTCAGACTGAACCACTTGGTCCTAACAGATTGTAAGGTGTGTTTTATTGAAGAGTTTGCTTGTCTCCTTGGAAATCTTTGGATCGTTTTCCATAAACATCCACTATAATAATAACTATTTGCTTTACTTCTTTTTATTCCTGTATCAAACGTTGTCATTTTTTAAATTTCTTTAGTCCGCGTAATAGTGGTCATGTTTACTGAACTTTATTTTAAAGTTTTGGTAGGAATATATGTTTGTCATACAAATCCTGCCAGGTCTTAGGCAGTTCGGATTAGGCAAAAGTGAAAAAAAGAGAAATAAAAATGAGGGGCTGAACTGGTCACATGTGGTTGAATACAGCAGGTATCCAGT